CCCCAAAACCCCAAAACCCCAAAACCCCAAAACCCCAGGTGACAATAAAAGAGATAATTTATTTGAAGAGAGAAATTAAGTCTGCAGAGTTAAAGTAAATTTAGATTATTAACTTAATAATGGATAATAAGTAGCAAGCAAAATTACAATAAATAACTCACTTCAAGCCTTCATCCCTTTAGATAGATGAAGTCTAACACAATTTTCTTGATGATTAATTTAATGGAATGCAATTCTCGCAAGGAAATAGTCCTCTTGAAATGATTAAAGGGAAGTAAATGCTTAATCAAACAATAGGCAAATTAAATAATTCAAATGGCTACCTAGATACAGGAGGAGGATCCTCAAATGGGAATACCAGCTTTCATCCTCATTCAATAGTAATTCTCAATCTTTAAAATTTATAGGGAAGGCAAACAGAAACTGAGAAAAAATAGGGTTTGAAGGTAGCAGCAAATAAATTCAAGCTAGCTTTTGGAATCAGAAACTATAGATCAAAGTAAATGAGTGTTGCTGTCTCATCCACTAACATTATGACTGATAAGGATGAGAGTCTCAGCTATTTCCAAATGCAAGAAGGCGATTATAATAATATAGAGGAGGAAAACAAAAGATCAGATGAGTCAAGCCAAAGTTTCTCAGAAATGATTAAGATGACTAGAGAGCCTGGCATTTCAATGTTTGAAGTAAACTCATCATCAAAAAGAAACCCTTTTACAAGTGGATTAAGGAAGCTAAAATAAAATGTCAGAGTGGGTGGTACTAAAATTAAAACGAAACCATAGCCAATTATAAAGAATAATACTGTAGTAAAAAACAAAGATCAAATGAAGGTAAGTAAAATATGCGAAATCTGATGTAAAAATCATCTTTTAGTATAACTTATTAAGCGACATACTTAGAAATGTTATTCCAATTCTCACCAAGTCGCAAAAAAAATCTCTATGGATTCTCTGGAAGCGTGATGTTCAGATCAGCAAAGACGAACGAAGAATGCTTTGGATGAGAGCCTCTGGAGCTGCAAATCAGTTAATGCATTTACACAACAAGGGTTATTACGAATCACTCTGCAAACTTGAGATGAATTATCCCAATCCTAGTTTCAGTCAGATAGATTTGGATTTGAAGAGAACCTTTTCTGATATGCCTGAAGAGGAGGCTGAATAGTACATTCCTATTCTAAGAAGAATTTTAATAACCTATGTAAAGAGGAATCCTACAATTGGATACTGTTAAGGAATGAATTTCATAGTGGGGAGGCTACTTCAATTCATGAATGAAGAAGAAGCTTTTTGGACTCTCACTTAGATATTAGAAACGATTCTACCAATAGATTACTATTCCAATATGGTTGGTGGTAAGATTAACCTTCATATTAATGTCAATAGTACTTATTGATCAATAGGTATTCAAGAAACTTGTGTAATTACTTCTTCCAGATGTTAGTGATCACCTTGAAAGACTTAAGTTTGATCCATCTCTGCTAGCTTTCTAATGGTTTGTGTGTTTCTACACATACAATATGACTCTTGAAGCCTCATTGAAGGTGTGGGATCTATTTATGATAAAGGGAGTTAAAGTATTGTTTAATGCTGGACTCTCAATCTTGTCTATTTTAAAGAAGTCTCTTCTTGAAGCATAGGATTTTTGTAATTAAACTTTAAGTTTAATAATATAATATAGAAACTGCTTTTTTACTGATTGATTAGACTTCTAAAAGTGAAGTGACAGTAGAGAAATTAATTGAAGAAATGAAAAAATTTGCAATCAGAAAGAGGGCTATAACCAAATTGAGGAATCAATAAAGACCTGAGGTTGAGAATGATCTTTAAAAACTAATAGAATAGAAAGATCAAAATGATAAAGGTCCCTATCCAAAGCTGAACTTCATTAATAAGTTCTTTCTTTACACAGGTCTGTGCAAATACTATGAATAAAAGGAACTTGGATGGAAAACTATGGAATAATTTGAGAGAGATCTGATGCAAATTTTCAATTGTGATTAGGAATGGCCAATTTGCTTGTTTGACTTTACCTATAAAAACAAGATTCCTAATAATCTTTGCTTCAAAATTAAAGAAACAATTACTAGTTGTATGATACATGACTATTTTGACTTTGAAATCCCAAAAAGTGATCTCTAGTCTAAATATGACTAAGGTCTATGAAATATAAGAAGATAATAAGAAATTTCAACAGATGAACTATTAATTGAAAGAAATAAACACATTTGTCACAGTTCAGATAACTTCATTAGGAATTTCAAATACCTTTTCAATGAAAATCATGAACTCATTTTTAGAAACCCACTCTTCAGCTTTAAGATTAGTGATGAAATAGAAGCTCTAGAAAAGATAAAACTTTTCATTAAAGAAATCTCAGCTTATAACTCCTCTTAGGATGAGATGGAGTTCTAGAACGAGGAAAACACTGAGTTTTTTCAGATGATTGACAGAAGTCCAAACCTGTAGTAGATGAATCAGATTACTTAAAGCAAGGCTAAAAAGGTCATTCACAGGCCAAGATCAAATTAGCTAACAAGTTTTATGTAAGATTTAGTCATTAGAAACCATGAATGGCTTGAGAACACCAATCAAATCTAGGAGCAGGATGAAAATCCAGATACAAATGAAAACTATAATTACAATAGGACCGAGTCTCAGCAAAATGGGCTATTTAACTCAATTAAAGACTACCAGTAGAGAACAATCAATCAATCTTAGTCCTTTGTAAAAACCAGATTGCCATCAATTCATTAGCACGCTCTTGAAAGAGTGCTAAAAGGTGCAGGTAGTAATCATTAATTGGTTCTTAAAAGCAATACCAGTAGTGGAGTAGGCATATTTTAGGACTATATACAGTCTTAACCTTAAATTAATCCATTTATCAATACTCTAATGGAGACTGAATCTTTTCTATAATAATCTAAAGATAGTAATTCTAATAAGCAACAGAGCAATTATCAATGAACTCCATGAATAAAGAAATAAGAATTTATTCTGAGAATATAGTATAGCATAGGCGAGCTCAGCCATTAATAAGATTATTCTAAATAGTATTAAGATAACGAATATTAAACTATCATCGTATTATTTGTGATTTAATTTTCCAAATTTATCAAAATGTAATCTATCGGGGTTTTGGGGTTTTGGGGTTTTGGGG